CCCAAAATGCTGGGATTACAGGTATTATCCACTGCGTCCAGCCTACTACATATTTCTTAAAACGCATTGAATTCTGCACTTGAAATTGGTGAATTTTATCATTTGTAATTTACAGTGCAATCAATAATATGATCTGTATCTCAACAGAGAGAATGAGAGAACAGGAACACCCCCTCTCTCTCTTGCCATAAATTGTTTTCCTATTATTTGAAATGTAGCTATGGAGTCAAAACAGGTTCTGACTTGCTTTTTTTAAATGTAGATTTTATTGAAGTATAACATACATCCAGAAAAGTGCACAATCATTAGTATATGGCTCAATAAATTTACACAAAGTGAACATATTAGTTAACTATCAACTAGATAAAAAAAAACTCTAAGATCCCTAGTGTCCTTCCTTGTGTCCCCTTTCAGTCATTGGTTCATCTCCCCAAGTGTAATTGTAATAGATTCATTGCCCAATGCACACAACATGTCAATCTACACCGAGAGACACTGGGTTGCAACAGAGAAAGAGGTTTAACCATAGGGTCACCAAATGAGGAGATAGGAGGAAACCTCAACTTCCTCTCCTCGAGGACTTATGATTTTTAACAGTTTGGGAGTGGGCCAAAGTTTGGAGACTGCTGATTGATTGTGGAGTGCAGGGTCAAGCCATGGGGTAGGGAGATGAAGAAGCTGTAGTCTCATGCTGACTCCATTCCTCTGTAGGGGTCTTCAAACAGGTTGCTGGAATTCAGGGTCTGAAAAGCATCTTAAGTGATCCTCAAACAAAAGCCATATGATTCTAATGTCAGAGATCTTATCTATAGGAACAATAAGGATGACATGGGGAAATGATTCTTAAACAGTCTTATGATGCTAATGTCAGAATTCCTATTGATAGGAACAATAAAGATGCAAATGGTCAGTATCTCGCAGTACGTGAGCTTTAGCAAGAAGAAAGTGGGCCACAGCGTAGCCTGACTAATGCTTAATTATAAGTATATTTCTGGCCAGTGCCTGGCAGGTAATTGTTGTCAACCCTGTGGGAATCATTTCACAAGGGTAACCGCTATCGTGACTTCAAACACCATAATTTGTTTTACCTGTTCTTGAACTTCATATGAATGAAATCATGTAGCATCTTCTCTTTTTTGTTTGGCTTCTTTTTTCATTATGATCTATGTGAAATTCATCCATGATGTTGTGCAGCTTTGTTCATTCTCTTTTTTTTTAGACAGAGGCTTACTCTGTCGCCCAGGCTGGAGTGCAATGGCACCATCTCGGGTCACTGCAATCTCTGCCTCCCGGGTTCAAGTGATTCTACTGCCTCAGCCTCACGAATAGCTGGGATTAGAGGTGCCTCCACCACATCCGGCTAAATTTTTGTATTTTTAGTAAAGACAGGGTTTCACTATGTTGACCAGGTTGGTCTTGAACTCCTGACCTCGTGATCCACCCACCTCAGCCTCCCAAAGTGGTGGGATTACAGGTGTGAACCACGGCACCCGGCCTCTTTTTCTAATTTTATTTTATTTATTTTTTTGCAGACGAGTCTCACTCTGTCACCCAGGCTAGAGTGCAGTGGCACAATCTCGGCTCACTGCAGCCGCCTCCTCCCAGGTTCAAGTGATTCTCCTGCCTCGGCCTCCCAAGTAGCTGGGATTAGAGGTGCCCACCACCATGCCTGGCTAATTTTTATAGTTTTAGTAGAGATGGGGTTTCACCATGTTGGCCAGGCTGGTCTTGAACTCCTGACCTCAGGTGATCTGCCTGCCTTGGTCTCCCAAAGTGCTGGGATTGCAGGCATGAGCCACTGCACCTGGCCTCTTTTTTCATTTTAAATATCCATTAAATTTACTCATTGTTGTGTGGTGTTCTAGTTCCGTAAATAAACAATAATGTTTTAATCCATTCTTATGTTGATGGAAATGTGGATTGTTTCCAGTCTTTGGTTATTATGAAAAGTATTGCTACGAACAATACTTTTTGTGGTGTTGTGCCTGTTTTTTTGTGCTGGGATTACAGGCGTGAGCTACAGCACCCAGTCTACAGCTTCTTTATTATTTCTTTCTTTTTTCAGAAAAACGTATTGGAGATGTAGGAGATGATGAAATCACATCTAGGATTAACGTCCTAGAAGGAGCCTTGGAGAACTGTGAATACCCTAATAATACATTCTTTTGCAGGGCACATCCTGTGTCTTTAGCTTTGGATTCTGTTTCTACCACTAATGAGAACAAAATAGAGAAGGAGGAGCCAGGCATACAGCCGAGTTCGATCTCACACACCAAGTAGAGGAAACCAAGGCCTGGAGAGATAAGGCCACCCAGCCTTATCAGATCCTTTTACCAAGGTATCCAGAAACAGCAGCAGAGACTCAAAATACACTTTAGTGGAACCCAGACAAGTTTTCTCCAAGTCAAGCTAACGCAGCCTCTATCAATAGAGCCAGTGAGAAAACATTGACTATCAAAATTCTGCTCTTCCTTCAGGGTCCATCTCAGCTGAGGTCTCCTTCATGAAACCTTTCTGATCTTTCCAGCCAGAGCCAATCTTCTCCTTCATGAAACTTTTCTGATTTTCCAGCCAGAGCCAATCTTCTCTTTCATGAAACCTTTCTGATCTTTCCAGCCAGAGTCAGTCTTTTCCTATTACTTCTGTCCTGGATTGGGTTGTAGCATTTACCTCATTCTCTCTTGGACTATTTGTACACATGTCTCGTCTCCTGAGATATGTGGTAAACTCCTGGGAAGACAGGCTTGGCTTGTTTCTTTTTGTTGGGGATGGTGAGAGGGAGGCTTGTATAAATGAGTTGCTCAGTAAAACACCAAATTGAGTTGTGTTGCTGCTAAGGAGAAAGGGCCTGAGGAACTCCATGTTTCCTGAAGCAACTGACAGGCATATTCATATTGAATTTACAAATGTCTTTGTTTCACAGTAGTACACATTCGACAATGGGATCACGGGCCCCAGAGTCTTTGTGGATAAAGAGACCCTGGAATGCACTTTCTGGGTAGGATGCCCAAGGATGTGACGGCTGCTCTCCCTGCCACACCCAGAGTTGGTGGCTAACCCCTTTCCTGCTTCTGTGTCACTTCGTGGTTCCAGTGTAGACTCAAGAACTACTCTGGGGCAGTCTTGGAACTCTGAAGTTAAGCTAGGGTGGAGGAAGGAAGAGGAACTGAAAGAGGAAGAATGCCATGGCATGGGAAGGCTAAGGTCTCCTGTCTCCTTCTTCCTTCCTGCTTCTTGCCCGGGGGCCCAGGCCCCTAGCTGGCAGCCACAGCAGCATGACAGTACCAGCAAGGGCGTGTGCACGCATCTTTCCTCAGCTTCTCTTGCAGTCGATCTGTCCTGCCCTGCCCTCTCGTCCACCACTCCCCCTCCCTGCACGCGAGGTGACTGCAGAGTGGCAAGGCACAGGGTGTGGCCAAAACGTGTCCTGTCACCACTTGGGCAGGGCTCAGCCTTGGAAAACACAGAGGTACTTGAAGTCCCCAGGGCTTTCATACACCAAGATCCAGGAGTTGTACATTATATGCCCTTTAAGGGAGCAGTCCTGACCTCAGGAAGAATTTCTTTGGACTTGGGAATATGAATAAAATAAAATCTTCTCTGGCCGGGCGCGGTGGCTCACGCCTGTAATCCCAGCACTTTGGGAGGCCCAGGTGGGCAGATCACGAGGTCAGGAGTTGGAGACCATCTTGGCTAACACGGTGAAACCCCATCTCTACTAAAAATACAAAAAATTAGCTGGGCATGGTGGCAGCTGCCTGTAATCCCAGCTACTCGGGAGGGTGAGGCAGGAGAATTGCTTAAACCTGGGAGGCGGAGGTTGCAGTGAGCCGAGATTGCGCCACTGCACTCCAGCCTGGGTGACAGAGTGAGACTCCATCTCAAAAAAAATATATATATATATTTTCAGCAACCTGTTGAGTGGTCCCCATGAAGGACTGAGGAGGCCTGGTGTGGAACAGGAATTAAAAGAAATTAAAGACTGTGTAAGCAAAAACTCAGTTGTATGTAAGAAAACCCATTTCCCCCTGAGGAAGAGAAAGGGCTGCAGTCCTTTAAAATTAACTGCCTGTTTTTCTCTCTGTGGCTAGTGAGCCTCATCTCTCCCTTCCCCAGGCATTGTGAAGACCCTGTTTCTCTAGCTGTGCAGCTGCAAGGTCACTGGACAGATAATCTCAAGTCATAAAACATGTTGTTCCTTGGAAAGTAAAAAATAATGTAATGCATGTCTGAATTGAATAACCATCTTATTTCTTACTTCTGTAATACGCTTCTCTCTGCACACTCTCCTTGCCCCATGAAATGCTTAAAAGGTAGCTTGACTCTTTGTTTGGGGCTCAGTCCTTTGGATGTTAATCTGACTGGGTCGATGCACCTAAGTAATTAAATAATTCCTCCTCAACCCCTTTGTCTCTCTGATTCCTTAAATTATCCCACAGCAAGGGAAGTGCTATGGAAGGGCTATGTCCTTCCTGATTCCTGATCCTTAGAGGGAGAGGAGGTTAACAGGGAAGGAGAAAGGGGAAAAGGCATACAGACTCCAAAATATATATGATTTTTAGCTCATTAGGACCACATTGTCAAGTTTTTTGTGTATATATATTTTTAATAGAGATGGGGTCTCACTATGTTGCTCAGGCTGGTCTCAAACTCCTGAGCTAAAGCAGTCCTCCTGTCTCAGCCTCCCAGAGTGCTGGGATTACAGGCGTGAGCCACTGTGTGCCTGGCCCATATTGTCAAATTAATGGAAAGGAAATACAGAACCAGAAAAACCAAATAACTGGTTAGAAGCAAAACTTGAACTAGAACCCAGATCATAGAATCTAGGAACTGCAAGGGAAACGGGGATGAGGCAAAGCAGATTATTGATCACTTACGCATGTCAGACACCGTGCAGGGTTTGTGTATGTGCTTCCTCATTTCCTCTGTGTAATTATCTTATTAAATCAATATCACATCATTTTACAGGTTTGGTCTGTTTTTTTTTTTTTCTTTTTAAGGAAGTGCGAACCATTTTGCCTGGCACAGTACTTGACCCTGGGGGCACAATGAAGATCAGGTTCAAGATCAAGGTGGTCCCTGCCCTGTGGTGCTTTTATGGAGGAGAGTCAGGTAAGCAGGCAGTTATTATGCCTTGTGTGGTTATAATAGAAGCTCAGAATGCTTTGGGAGAACTGCAGTGGGTCCTGCCTCAGGCTGGGAAAAGTCAGGGAGGGCTTCCTGAAGAAGCTTTCAGGCCTTGGAGTGAGCAGAGAATGGGATGTGAGGATAGAGGTGGGTGGGTAGGGAAGATGAGAAATGAGACCAGAGGGGCAGGCAGGTTCAAGACTCCAGAGCACCTGGTTAGACGTTTGCATTTCACCTAAGATGGAGATTCAAGGTGGAGGGCATTGGAAGGTTTTAAGTGATGGGATGACAGGATGAGATGTCCTTATTCTTTTTAGTTTTTATTTTTCTTTATGATTATTATCATTATTATTTTTTGAGACAAGAGTTTCACTCTTGTCACCCAGGCTGGAGTGCAATAGCACGATCTTGGCTCATTGCAACCTCTGCCTCCTGGGTTCAAGCAATTCTCCTGCCTCAGCCTCCCAAGTAGCTGGGATTACAATGGCCTGCCACCATGCCTGGCTAATTTTTGTATTTTTAGTAGAGACGGGGTTTCACCATGTTGGCCAGACTCGAACTCCTGACCTCAGGTGATCCACCCACCTTGGCCTCCCAAAGTGCTGAGATTACAGGCGTGAGCCACCGTAACTGGCCTTTTTTATTTTTATTTTTATTTTTATTTTTTAAAGACAGGGTCTCTCTGCTGCACAGTCTGGAGTACAGGGTGTGATCATGGCTCACTACAGCCTCAACCTCCTGGGCTCAATTGATCCTCTGTCCTCAGCCTCCTGAGTAGGTAGGACTGCAGGCATGCATCACCATGCCTGGCTAATTTTTTATTTTTTATTTTCATAGAGATGGATCTCCATATGTTGCCCTGTCTGGTCTCAAACTCCTGGCCTCAAGTGATCTTAGGCCTCAGCCTCCCAAAATGCTCAGATTACAGGTGTGAACCACCACACCCAGCCAGATGTCCCAATTCTTTTTTTCACATTTGAATGTGCATGCCATTTATTTTAAAGTCAACTTTAATGAGGATTCACTTATGAATAATAAAATGTATTATATTACATTTTAAGCATATACCTCAATTTTTTATTATACTTTAAGTTCTAGGGTACACGTGGGCAACGTGCAGGTTTGTTACATATGTATACATGTGCCATGTGGGTGTGCTGCATCCATTAACTCATCATTTACATTAGGTATATCTCCTAATGCTATCCCTCCCCCCTCCCCCCCACCCCATGACAGGCCCCAGTGTGTGGTGTTCCCCATCCTGTGTCCAAGTGTTCTCATCGTTCAGTTCCCACCTATGAGTGAGAACATGTGGTGTTTGGTTTTCTGTCCTTGTGATAGTTTGCTCAGAATGATGGTTTCCAGCTTCATCCTACAAAGGACATGAACTCATCCTTTTTTATGGCTGCATAGTATTCCATGGTATATATGTGCCGTATTTTCTTAATCCATTCTATCATTGATGGACATTTGGGTTGGTTCCAAGTCTTTGCTATCATGAATAGTGCCGCAATAAACATACATGTGCATGTGTCTTTGTAGCAGCATGATTTATAATCCTTTGGGTATATACCAAGTAATGGGATGGCTGGGTCAAATGGTATTTCTATTTCTAGATCCTTGAGGAATCACCACACTGTCTTCCACAATGGCTGAACTAGTTTATAGTCCACCAACAGTGTAAAAGTGTTCCTACTTCTCCACATCCTCTCCAGCACCCGTCGTTTCCTGACTTTTTAATGATCGCCATTCTAACTGGTGTGAAATGGTATCTCATTGTGGTTTTGATTTGCATTTCTCTAATGGCTAGTTATGATGAGCATTTTTTCATGTGTCTGTTGGCTGCATAAATGTCTTCTTTTGAAAAGTGTCTGTTCATATCCTTTGCCCACTTTTTGATGGGATTGTTTGATTTTTTCTTGTAAATTTGTTTAAGTTAGTCGTAGCTTCTGGATATTAGCCCTTTGTCAAATGGGTAGATTGCAAAAAATTTCTGATGTCCTAATTCTAAGGGAAACTTTGGTTTCGGTGTGGAGGGCAGGCTGGAGTGGGCAGGACTAGAGGAGGGAGATGAGCTGGGAACGGCAGTGATTCACAGCAGTGAGAATAGCAGCTAAGCCAGGACAATGTCAAGAGAAACAGAGAGAAATGGACGCACTGAAGACATAGACTTAGGAGTTAGAAACCATCAGGACGTGGTGACTGATGGTTCTGAGGGGTAGGGAGTTAGAGGGATCCAGGATGACACCCAGGTTTTGTCTTGGGCTGTGTCATCCTCACAGTGCCACCATCTACTCAGTTGTCCAGATGAGATAACTGAAGCTCACAGAAGTAAATTGTCGCAGGTCAATCAACTTGTAAATGGTAGAGCTGGGGCTCAACATCAGCCCTGATTGATATCTTCCTAATTCCACCAATTCCAGTATTTTTCTGTTTATAAGTGTCTGAACAACAGCCATGAACAGCTTTGGCCAACGTGCACGACTGTGCTTTCTGGAGTCATGGGCTTCTGCAGTGGTTAATGGAGATTTATTCTGAGCTTTAGTAGTTCATTTGAAAGCAATGTTAAGAATCTCCCCTACCTAATCCCCTAAAGCTCTGCACTATCCCAAAAGGCAACCTGGGTTAATGAAGGAAGCACTCACCTCCTAACCCAGGGTTAGGAGACCTGGGTTCAAGTCCTGGTCCTGCCAGGTCACATACCTTCTCTGGGCCCCAGCTTCCCAATCCTTGAGTGAAGAGGTTGGGTCAGATGACCTCTAAAAGCCATTTCAGCATCAGTTTCTAAAATCTACGTGTCTGGGGAGCAGGGAACGTGCTTAAATATGTTACAGGCTAGACGCATTCTGAAGGCCATTTGGTTTGATTTCTAAGTGATATGTTAGCCTCCTGTAAAGTGGTCCCAGCTGTGGCCTATGGGACACGGGCCCCACGACACATTGATCAAATCAGAATTCTTAGAGCAGGGCTGCAGAGAAGTCTCTTGCAATGCGCACCAGTGATCCCAGTGTGTAGTGAGGTTTGAGAACCACTGTCTTGGAGGATGCTGGGAGATCGCCAAGATGTATGTTACCACAAGAAGCCAGTGAGAATGACTGGGGGCCTCTGTGGAGGAGAAATCAGCCCAGGGAAGAGCCAGATATTCCAGAGCAGAGAGGGAAGCGCACAGTCAGCTGAGAACTAATTCTGACTCAGTCTCTACAATGTGTTCCTGGTGCCACAGGAAAAAACTAGGTGGGGAAAGAAGCAAGAGTTCTCGCCTTTTCCGTCTGCGAGCCTGTCTCCTTCAGTGCCTTGAAAGCACCTGCCATCTCTTGGCTCCTCCCAGCACTTTGGGAAGCCAAGGTGGGAGGACCTTTTGACCCACAAATTCAAGACTGGCTTGGGCAACACAGCGAGACCCCATCTCCACAAAAATAATAAAAAATTAGCCAGGCACAGCAGTGAGCACCTATAGTCCCAGCTACTCAGGAAGCTGAGGTAGGGGGATCACTTGAGCCCAGGAATTGGGGGTTATGGTGAACTACGATCAGGGCATTGCATTACAGCCTGGGCAGCAGAGCAAGACCCTTGTCTAAAAACAAACAAACAAACAAGAGATGGGGGAAGACTCTGCGAAAGCCATACTTCATGAGATAGAGCCCTCTCCTCTTGTTTTTTCTTTTTTTTTTTTTTTTTTTGAGAGAGGGGCTCACTCTGTCACCCAGGCTGGTGTGCAGTGATGCAATCTCGGCTCACTGCAGCCTCCACATCTCAGGTTCAAGCAGTCCTCCTGCCTCAGCCTCCTGGTTAGCTGGGAGTACAGGCACATGCCACCATGCCCAGCTAAATTTTTTTGTATTTTTAGTAGAGATGAAGTTTTGCTGTGTTGCAAGGGCTAGTCTCGAACTCCTGGGCTGAAACAATCTGCCTGCCTCAGCCTGCCTCAGCCTCCCAAAGTGCTAGGATTACAGGCATTAGTCACCACGCCCAGCCTTAGAGCCTTCTGCTCTCAACAATACCTTCAAGGTCATCAGTATCTGTCAACAAGCACTTACTGCATGCCCACCCTGTGCCAGAAACCACACCCCACCGCAGGATGCCAACAGGAAAGACACAGACTTTGCCCTTTAGCCTCCAGACCAGAGGAGGTGGCAGATGAGCAAACATGCAATCACAGTGTTGTGTGAGAGGCTCTGGGAACCCAGACGGTCCTGAAAGCTGAGGCTGGGCACTCCAGGAAGACTTCCTGGGGGAGATAGCATTGAGTTGTATAGGACAGGTTTGAATTATCCAGGTAGAAAGGGGTGTGTGGATATGAAAGGAGGGAGGTGGTGACGTCATTATACTGTTTTACATGGCCCAACACCCTTATCCATTCATTATTTCATTTGGTGTTAATATGATGCTGGCTAGAAAGTTCATAGATTATTTTCATTCAAGGGACTAGTGTCAAGGGGCTAGGATGGAAAACTTCCTCATCATTACAACAAGAGAATCAGAGGCCCTCATTTGACAAGCACGGTGGTGACTGAAGGAATCTTCTCTATCGCTGATATCTCTATCTGTGATCTCTCTCAGTCTCCCTGTAAACTTGGGAAATAGATGGAACTGTCTCCATTTTATAAAAGAGGAAGCCGGGGTTTAGAGAGATTGACTTCATCGACATTCGTGCGCTTGATGACTAAGCAAGGACTCAGAATTTGAAAATACTTTCTGGATTAAAGTGAGAAATGGATGATAAATAGTCCTCCCAAAGTAGGGCTTTCTTTTATCACACCTGCCTGCTATATACAGACTTAAGGGAGGGGTTATTATTATTACGTACCTTATTCACTCCCTGCTTAATCCCAGCTGTTTCACTATCACAACCCAGGAATATTAATGACAAGTAGATGGTTTTAGTTTGGCAATGGATAATTACAATCATGCCATTTTAGCAAGCTTCTCTTGTGACCACTTGACTCTATTTGTCTTTTTTTTTTTTTTTTTTTTTTTTTTGAGAC